CCTTTCTGCTTTAGCGTAATCTTGCAGAGGGCGACAATTCAGTTTGAGCCTTGTAACGCTTCAAAAGACAAAATGATTGGCAATGAAATCAATGATATGGTATTAAACTCAATGCGTCGGCGCACAAGCAGCTTGTGTTGGAATACAAGAGAAAATTCCGAGAAGCTTTTAAAGCCGTGGCAAATTTTATTTCATTTTAGGAAGCGCCATGCTTTTTGAGAACAAGTTGAGGTACCTCCTGCAAAGCCAAGTCGTCATCTTTCTTTGACTATTTTTGACCACATTAGTCCACACCCAGTCTTCTACCAAAAGCACTCAAATCACTTCGAACGTCGTTTTCTCCGCTTTGCTATAATCCTAGATATATAAACTTTGTATTTTTCAATTTTTGAAGACTTTCCCCTACCTCTTGCATCTCTCCTCTTCTGCCTTCTTATTACTCGCTGCTGATCACTATCAAGCATATCCGCAAAGAAGATATGTATTTTGTAAACTCAAGAAAAATGTTGTATCCAAAATCGCTAAGTGCCACATTGTGCCGCACGCTACCGCCACTGCACATTCATCAGCTAAGCAGTGGCGGTCCCAGATCTCCGTTGGGGTGGGGGGAAGAAAATTTTTTGAACGAGGTTGCGTTAACCACGCATTCGAATTCTCATTCTTTCGAGCTAATATTTCTAGAAAAAGAAGTACAAGCGAGTCACTTGCACATTTTTATCATGTAAGTGACTAGCTGAAAATGAACTTATGTCATAGTTTATACAGCTGAGTAATGCCATAATATTCGTAGCTGAAATACACAGGAAGATTTTGACGCGTAAAAGCATAGGAGTAGAGCATGGACTCCAAAAATGATAGTATGAACTTCCGCATGCGAAGGATTATTTGCAGCTGCTGTGTGTCGTTACACTTTCGTCGAATCCTTCGCCTTCGTACGCAATATAGTAAAATATTGCAACTCAAAAATTGTTTTGTGTATTTACGTCGAGACTTCATTTTTTTGATGACACGCACTCTTCCTCTTAGCAATTTAACAGCCTTTTTGGACTCACTTTTGAATGTGACCGATTTTGTGGATTCAAACACGAGAAAATTTGTTTGGTGACTGTAGTTTCTTCGAGAGGCTGAGATCGTATCGTTACTATTTGTTATTAATTGGTTTCACTTTTGAATTCGATCTTTGAAGGCACCGTCCCCCCAAGTTGAGAATTCTAAATTTTTAGCAGCATATGAGATCAGGCCCCCTAAAAAGCCAATGCCCAAGTCGTAGCGGATAATGTCGCTTTAGAAGCGAGAAATCGCTCCTGAATAACGAAGATCCAAAAGACCCCCCAGACGGCACCGCCCTCCCCATCCATGCCGCCCATCCGTGCGCCTCCAGCCAATCACCGCTCCAGAACCAGCGCGGGTGATCCGGAATTCCATCGTATACTGGCAAAGCTCGAGCTTCGGGAATCTTACGACCCACCCGTGGGTCGTATTGTCGTAAATGTGTTAACGACAAGGAGAATAAAAACGCTACGAACTTATGGAACGACCTAATCGATCATTTTTGTGCGTTTAGGCCATTTTGGATCCCAAAAGATCACAAAAAAAACTATCGCGCATAATGAGCGTTTATTCGTAACCAACTCGCCAGATAGTTCCTCTGCACGAGTTTGTGGCAGATCCAGATTCTGAAGGCAGTGTCTCACCAAAATTCGGTTGTGGAGGTTTTTGCAAATTGCGCCTTCAACTATTGAAGACACGCAATTTTTGGGGATTGTTGGGTTTTCGAGGATTCTCGACTTCATATTCGGAATTAGAAACATGAGCAGGCCCCGGAACGATCAAAACATGGGATTTGAGAATCTGGTTGTAGAGTGCTTTTGAACAAGATTTAATTTACAAGGGCTACGCAAATCAACTTTTTCTCCTTCATTCCCTGTGCTCAAGTAAACAGCAAAGATCTAGTAAAAAGAATCCTTTTGAGATAAAAGAAATTCATTGCGCCCTTTTTTCAGCTATTTCCCTCCTTCAAATCAAGTATGAAATTTATGGTCCATCTCAAAGCATTGATTGATTCCAATGAGTCAAGACATTTTGGTCTATCAACAAGAATATTCTTCCAGGGGGAACAAATCTCGAGTCTGATTACACAATATGCAGCTCTAGTTTTTTTTCATTTAAGCTATTTTCAGGCTATTTTTTGAAAAGGTCAAGAAATGACTATAAACGAAAAGAAAACTTCCGAAATGATTTAGGGTGCTCCAAAAGCATGCAATTAAAATGAACATAAGTGTGCCACCAAAGTGATGTCATACCGCAACAAGTCGAGTTTCAAACCCTAAACAGGCAACGAAGTAACATTTGAAAGAGCAAAGCAAATTAACGGTAGACGTTATACACTGTAAGGTAAGTAGTTACACACTGTGCAAACATCTACACCAACTTTGATCCAAGCGAAGTTTGAAGCCAAAAACTGGGGAAAAATGCCAAAAAATAAAGAAAATCAAATTTTGATATTATCCAATTTAGTTCTTCATTTTCTATCTGATAGCTGGATTTTTTTTAATCTACACAATCTCTTAGATCTTGTCGCTAGGGCTTATTGGGCACTTCAGCAGCGACGCCAAATTCCTAATTTTCGAGAAAATTTTTTCATATTCTGAACAACCAGCTGTTATCTAAAGTAATCCTCGGCTATATAAAACATATTCTCAATTACAATCAAGTTTTCAAAGTCTGTAATGGTTGTTTGTGCCAAAAAAAACTCCAGCTTTTAAGTATTCGTAGCGTATAGTGAAAATTCAGGAAGGTAATTTTACAAAGCAATTAATCTTGATAAGTTTGCATAAAGAAGGTTGTCGCGGCTCGCGATGCAAGCCACTCCCCGAAACAGAAGGCCGGGAGCGCTGGCTATCGCGTTACTTGGCGCGCTTTCAAGATCGCGCCAAGACCTCTCCTGCTGGGCGCGTTGCCAAGTCACAGGGTATATAAGGGCGCGCAGGCCGCGGTCTACGCCTCTTCGATTTCCGTTCGTATTGATCGTTTTTATGATTTCGTTCGTGCTGGCAGCGCCTCCAACAGCTCCCGCAGATGATCATCGGTTTCGAGCGGTTGAGCCTTTGTTATCTTCTTGGTTTTGGAGACGCGCAGCTAAACATCATGGCTTGTCTAGCGTAGGAAGTGTACCAGCGGGAGTGGAGAGGGGTCACACCGTCCCGGAAGGGCTAGGGGCTTGCGGTTGACCCAGCGGAGAGCCCGGAATTACTTGTTGAAGTCGATCACCATCAGCATCGGCAGCACGGGACGAGGCGGCTCGTCCCGTGCTTAGTTTTCCTGGGTTTTGAAGTAGTATTTTTAGTAATTTTAGTAGTTTTAGTAGCTTTCGTAGTATTAGTAGTTTATTTTTGTGTTTTGTAGATAAATGTAGTCTGAACTAGTCGGTCCTTTTGTTTCTCAGCGTTACGCGCTATTTTACCGTGCCGTTTATACTTGTAGAGGGTAGTCCTCGGCAGCGCCCGTCAAGGCGTCATGAACCTTGGTGGACGCGCGACATCGTAGGGGACAAACGGGAGTTAGGTGTAGCTGCGGCGAGCACTTTAGGCAATGTGCTGATCACACCGAGCCGCCACATGGTGCATCGACGCCGAGCGCATGGTGGATGGCGGTTCTGCCGCCCCGCGTATGGAGATTGGTAGCCGCGCGCCCAGGTTGCGGCTAGGTAGGTAACATCAGCGGCTTAGGTAAGGTTTTAGGTAAGTTCTTTTGCGCTAAGTTATCCCATCCTCCATGCGTGCGTAACGAATCCTGTGTCTACCACGTTCAGCACCTAGTAAGAAGATCCAGGCAAGCAGGGAGACGCGCTTCTCGTCTTCGTAGCCAGTAGTGGTCTACAGAGGCTAGCCAGGCTAATATCGTGGGCAGCGCGTGGGGTAGTGGTAAGGTGGCAGCTTGCCAACTAACCCCCGAGCTCAGCGCGTGGACTCACTCGATTCCTGGTCAGCCACCGCGCCAAAGAGGCTGTAGGAGCGACGGGCCGGCGTCGTCATTGGCGGGCTCGACCAAGGACCAGCAGCTGCAGTAGTGTCGAGTTTCAACAAAGGATAAGGTAGGTAAGTGGAATAGGCCTTTTCAGGTTTCAAGGACACACGGATTTCGGACGCGCGGATTATGGCGAGGCACACACGGCGCCGTCCTTAACAGGAGAGTGAACCGGGGATAGGTAACTGGGTATTCGGGCTAGGTAAGGGGGTCTAGGACAGGTTAGCAAGGGTTTGGCTTAGGTATAGGGCACAATCTAGGTAAGGGGGATTAGGTGGGATAAGGCGGCTTCGGTTAAGGGGGTAGGGTTTTTAGCTACGTTTAGGAGGGTAACTGGGTTCTCTTTAGGTAGGTGAGGGGGTTTAGGATTGGGGGGATGGGTTCGGGTTAGGTAAGGGTATACTTTAGTGGGGTTCAAGCTAGGATAGGTAGGTAAGGTATTTAGGTTAGGCCGCGCGGATAGGTAGGTAAGGTACTCACGTTAGGTAACGGGCATAGGTAGGTAAGGCATTCATGTTATAGGTTAGGTAGAAAGACGCGGCAAATAGGTAGGTAATCCATATTTCTTCAGTCTAGGTAAGGTATGCTCTTTGGGTTTAGGCAGACACTTAACGGTTCACTCGCCCATGGGTTCTGCGAACCCCTCCAGGTCGCCAAGCTGGAGCCTCCTACAGTGTCTACACACGCCTCCGGTCGGTTACTAGCTCTGCTAGTTCTGCTGCACACGTTTCACTTAGGTGCCGCGCTAGGCTCTTAGACGGACGCGTTGTCGTAACTGCTTGTCTTGCGCCCTCATTCTCCCTACTGCCGTTGGACTACCCCATTCCTTTTTGCTTTAGCGCACGGTTTAGGCAGGGCCTGTTTCCTATATGTACTCACTTCATATTTATCTTGGGGGGTTGTAGTTGTAGTTTCTACTCGCTTATCTTGTTGTATTTTTGATATTGCGTTTCTGCTTTTTTATGTTCCAGGTAATGTCGCAACTCTGTTCGCAAAAAGCCCAACTGACGAAGGCCGCTAACTCACTACGCAAAAAGATCGCGGAAGTCGATCAGGCCAACCTCGATCTTGTGGACTTTGCTTCGGAGGCGAGTAAAGATCCACATTTGGTTTTCAATCGTTTGAATTCTTTTTCTCTTTCATTTTCTTCTATTAGTCGTGCTGCCTCTGCCCTACGTGGCCAGTTGGAGAAAGCCGAAGAGTTTGCTCGGCAGAATCCTGACGAGCGTGGAGAGTTCCCTTTCCTCTCCGACATTCATGCTCATTGGGAAACCGGTGGGATGGATGATCTTCTTGAGAAGCGGATGCTCTTCTTGTTCGCTTGGATTCGGCGATCAGACTTCTTCCTATTTTGGGAGGCCTTCAATCTTCTGTTCCATCTGTTGCTCCATCCTTGTCGCGCAATTCCCCGCTTCATACTATCCAAGATTCTGCGCCATCCCCTCAACACGCGCATCAGGCGGAAGTGGCGGTGCACAGCCATTCTCCGTCTCGTCCATCTGACCCAACAGCGCCTGTTGACCAGCGTCCCCCCGCGAGCCATACTGGCGCGCATCCCTCGGGCGGATTTGGCTTCCCTTCGGGTAATCCTCCCTCGAATCCCATCCACTTTTCGCAATCCCCATTCGGGCTTCCAAATTCTTTGCCAAATCCTTTTTCGCGCGACCTTCAAGCCTCATCTTCATCATCCCTTAACCCCTTTTTGCCCTTGGAGCAACCTGTGAAGTTACCTTCCTACGAGATCCCAACCTTCAGCGGCGATATCGAGGCATTCTCCGAGTTTTGGGATATCTTTTCTACAGCCGTGCATAATAACAACACCGTGCCGGCAGCAGTCAAGTTCATGTACTTGAAGTCGGTCCTTGAAGGAGATGCTGCTCGGATTATCGCAGGCTTCAAACCAACGGCGAAGGACTATGACACTGCAGTACGCACTATTCTGAGTACGTACGATCGTCCTGAGATTCTGAGAAGTCGATTGTGGGACAAGTTGTCGCAGCAGTCACCGGCATCAGATTCTGCAATTTCGCAACGCGCTACACTTTGCGCGCTTCAGGCAACTTGGTACCAGATGAAGGAATTGAACGAGGACTCCAGTTCGATCGCAACGTTAAGGACAATTCGTTCTAAATTTCCCTGGCGTACGCGCGAGAAAGTTGGCGAACTGAAGGGCAAAAGTGACTCTATGTGGACAGTGGACGAGCTGTTGTCAGCTCTCAGCACGGTCATTGATAGACTGCAAGTGGTAGAGGACTCCGATCCAGCAGGTCATCGTGCTTACAACTCGGATTCCACAGTTCGTCAGCATTCTCCTTCCCCGTATAGGTATCCCGGCACGAGTCAGCCGTACATGAGGTATCCATCGTATCAGCAACAACCAGCTTACCCACGTTACGCGCGTAGCTCGCGCTCACCATCACCCAGATACCGTGACGCCACCTACAGACCTCCGACTCCTTATTACCCGCGGCGCACATCACGTAGCCCTGTTAGACCTCAGTATACCACACCTTGGGAGCCTCGTTGTGCCTTCTGTTTCCGTCATGGACATCCTTCGGAGTGTTGTATGACAGTACGCGACGTGCAACAGAGGAGAGAGCTCGTCAACCAGTATAGACTGTGTTGGCTGTGTCTCGAAGAAGGTCACACGTTCAACATCTGCAGAGCCCCAGCGTGCAGATACTGTGGCAGATTACATCATCCAGCTTTGTGTGTTACATTACCATCAGCGCCCTATTCGTCCTACCCACCTGCGCAATTCCGTCAGCGCACTCCTTCACCTAGACGCGTACAGTTTGAGACGACAGCGCACTCTTCACCACCTCGCACCCAGTACGCGAGTCCGCGCACTTCTCCTTCGCGTCGACCTACACTCAAAGCGCCGTCTCCATCTAGGCGTCAGTCACGTTCCAACTCTAGACGCGCTAGTCTTCCTCGAAGATCTTCAAGCGCGTTTCCCGCTGTCCAAACTTCCACCTGCACTCCAGTCGCGCATGATTCCATCCAGTCAGATGAGCCCACAGAGTTGCTCGACCAACATAAAGCTAGCGTAGGGCCACATGCACCTTCATCTTGTACGTCTGTGTGCCAAGCTGCTTCTACAACATAGGTTCCTCGTCTAATGGTGGTTCATGCTATAACCCGGAACCTCAAAACTAGTACGGATGAACTGCTTACTGTTTTTCTCGATAGCGGTTCGCAGTATAGTTTTATCTGTACCTCGCTGGCCTACCATCTCGGCCTGACTTTTAAGAATACAAGGACTGTTACGACTCTGACCTTCGGAGGACATCAGTTCACTGAAGATTCGTCAGAAGTCACACTCACGTTATGGGACCAGCTCGATCGTCCAATTCAACTCCAACTTTGGACGCGCCATACCATCACAACGGTCCCGAAGACGAACAACTTGGATGAGACGAACAACACCTATATGGATGATAGAGTCGAAGTCGACGTACTCATTGGAATAGATAACTACTGGCGCGTTGTGGACTTGCATAGGAATGAGAAGCTTCCATCAGGTCTCATTCTGTCCCACACTCGCTTCGGACCAGTTCTATCAGGTCTTAGTTATCCGGTAGTATCGGAGATTACTAGCTCGGCAACGACTCTACTCAACGATGACGCGCCAGGAACGGAACAGCTTTTGCGAAATCTCCTCGGCCTAGACACACTTGGATTAGACGATTCAGATGTATCACCAGATGCCGACGTCATCAGGCAGTTTTACGATAGTGTTAGGATAATCGACGGTTCCATCTACGTCGCATTTCCGTGGAAATCCCAGCATCCTCCTTTGGCGGATAACAAAGCTCTCGCCTTTCGTCGTTTAGAGAGCCAGTATGAGAGACTCCATGCAATACCATCAGCGTGGAGCGAGTACTGCCACACCTTCGATCGTCAGCAACGATCAGGCGTAATCGAGGATGTCACGGATTTGCCCCCTGCGAGCCCTAACACGTATTATATTCCACATCAGGCAGTCTATAAGGAGGATAGCCAGACTACCAAGCTACGTATAGTCTTTGATGCCTCGAGTCATCAGAAAGGACATCCCAGTCTGAACGATTGCCTGCATCAAGGACCCTCCTTAATACCCGATCTTGTAGGAACCCTGCTGCGTAGCCGTCTACATTGTTATCTGATGATCGCCGACGTAGAGAAAGCCTTTCGCCAGATCCACTTACACCAGGACCAGAGGGACTGCACCAGATTTCTCTGGTTGAGAGATGTCCACCAACCTCCGTCGACCGAGAATCTCCGGATCTTGCGTTTCACACGCGTTCCTTTCGGCATCAACGCATCACCGTTTCTACTCAACATGTCCATCAGATATTTCCTCGAGAGGGATCCAGCCAATCGACTCAAGGAAGAAATATTTGCTAACACGTACGTTGATAATGTGCTAATCGGAGCGAATACCACCAAGGAGTGTATTACCAAGCAGATGGAGTGCAAGGAAATCTTCAGTCGCATGCACATGAACCTACGGGAGTTCATGTCTAACAACCAGCAGACGATGCTTAGGATTCCAAAAGAGGATTGTATGACCTTACCCGGACGATTCGTGAAGCTCCTAGGGATCAAATGGGACCCCAAGCTCGATGTACTTCACGTGCCTATTGAGATCGCGCGACAAGAAGTGTCGAGCAAGCGTACCGCGCTTCAAGTGTATGCATCGATCTTTGATCCACTAGGACTTCTTACTCCGCGTCTTGTAAGACTAAAGATGTTTATACAGGATCTCTGGGGATCTGGTTATTCGTGGGACGATCCGTTAGACGAAAGTACTACCCAGAAGTGGAATACCATTGTCCAGGAAATCAGCGGCTTTCAGTTGAGACTACCTCGTTTCGTAGGATACCCATCTGCCAACGCGTACGACCTTGTCATCTGTTCAGACGCGTCGAAACGAGTGTATGCTGTAGCAGTCTATGTCGTGACGCGCACGTCCACCTATAGTCCCAGTTCCACTCTACTCTTTGCTAAGGCAAAATTAGCACCATCGGGCGCGATCACCATCCCGCGCATGGAACTCTTGGCGTGCCACATGGCCGCAAAAACAGTACGTTTCCTGAAAAGCCAGCTCAAGATTCGTTTCAATTCCATCAGATTCCTGACTGATACTCAAGTACATCAGACAGGTTCTCGACGGACTTAAGTCTGACAACATCGACTGCGGATTTTATTACCTGGCTACCGACGTTAACCCGGCTGACTGCGCCACCCGTGGACTCACAGCTGTAGAGCTCGAGAGCCACATCTGGTGGAGCGGTCCATCGTTTATCACGATTCCGTTTGCTGACTGGCCGTGCAAGTCCTTCAACGCTTCTTCCGATCCACCTGCAGGAGGAGATTCTGAAGGACTACGGACGACCACAGCAGTAGTTACTTCAGCCAATACCATCATGACACCTTACCAGTCCTTTGTACCGTTTAGGCGTACTAACTCCTACATCCGACTTGTTCGTATTACAGCCTACGTCCTGAAGTATGTAGCCAAGCTACGCCGTTTAGTAAGGACGCGCCACAGCGCTGATGATTCCGACGAGCATCCCCTATTCGGCACAATAGACGCAAGTCCCACTGTAACACCGGGTGACTTTTCAGCTTCTGAGTTGATCGTTATACGTGAGCACTATCGCGAGGTTCCTCAGCAGTTACACGGCTTTCATCTGAAAAAACTCCGCACAAGGCAAGAAGGAGACGGTACGATACGCGTGGACTTACGTATGGCGAACGCAGAGACGAGCGGGACGGCGAAGAGCCCGATCCTCATACTCTCAGGTCATCCCCTTTGCGCCATGCTAATAGCTCACTACCATCAGAAGCTGTTCCACGCCGGTACTTCCCATTTGATCGCAGCCTTACGCGAGAGGTTCTACATTCCCAGGCTCAAACGTATGGTAAAATCGGCTATTGCTAAGTGTGTGACGTGCAAGCGGTACCAAGGCCATCTTTTCGCATATCCACGTTCACCAGATCTTCCACCGGAACGGGTCGTTCGAAGTCGTCCCTTTCAGAACATCGGACTCGACTATTTTGGCCCTATTTCAGTCCGTCTACATCAAGGCACTCTCCATAAGGTTTGGGTTTGTCTCTTCACGTGCATGTCTACGCGCGCGCTACACCTCGAAGTAGTCAAGGACAACTCAACCTTCCAATTTCTCTTAGCATTCAGAAGATTCATTGCGCGCAGAGGAGCTCCCGACATCGTCATAAGCGACAACGCGCCCATGTTCAAGCTAGGAAGGGAGATCATTACCAACAGCCTGAAGGAAGTAGCAGAAGATTCCCTAGTGGACGGATTCGTCGAAAGCCAGAACATCAATTGGACTTTTATCACACCATACTCGCCGTGGAAAGGCGGATTTTACGAGCGTTTGGTAGGATCAGTGAAGAGCTGTTTGAAGAAGACGGTTCGGCGAGAAATCCTCGACTTGTGGCTTTTTGAGACGCTCATCCTTGAAATAGAGGCCGTCCTTAACACGAGACCCTTATTTCCGGCGAATTCGGCTAACTCGAACACGGACTTGGTGATAAGACCCATAGATCTGATAAATCCACAGTTTCGATTAGGTCGCCTGACGTACAGCATGCCTCAGAAGATCGAGACGTCGTCGCGCGACCACTACGAATCCCTGAAGACGCAGTACCGGCTCCTGCAGACCGATCTTGATTACTTCTGGGATATATGGCACAAGGAATACCTCGCCGCGCTCGCAGAACGACAAGCGACGCGCACCCAGAAGAGCTCCGGTACCAAAAGGTCGCCGCGCGTAGGAGATGTAGTACTGATAAAAGAACAGGATTTATCAAAATCTAGATGGCCGCTTGGCCTCATTCTGCAGTTACACACCTCACCCGACGGCAATGTAAGATCAGCCAGAATTAAGATTGGGAAGCGGAAAGATAGTGGACCGTGCACTCAATCATCTACTGCCGTTAGAGATCAGTGCAGCAGACACAAAGGATCTTCAGGCGAACGCTCAGGAGCGTAGAGCGACACGGATTCAACCATCAAGAACAGCAAAGGCAAAATGATAGTGAAATCAACATTCTACAAACGTATGTTGTTATTGTTAGTTTTGATTGTTATTTGCTGATTTCATTTGTTGTTTATTCTTGCTTTGTTATCCTATTTGTTTTGTACGTATGTAGTATGATGTAGTGCGCGAGGACGCGCCTATCATATTTTTGCTTCAGTGCATTGAATTGTGTGTCAAGAGTTCGATCTTCGAATAAACTAGGTGTTGGTTTACTTGATTGCTTACATGGACATGCTAGTACCCTTATATGACTTTTTTACCCGACTACGACTTTTCTGTGCATAGCTTTTGCAGTGCCACAGCCACGGATTTGGATTCCCTCGGATCAGACTTTGACTTCACCCAGCCCAGGTCAAGCACCTCCTACGCCGTATCTACTGCCAGGTATTTTTCAGCGCACGCGCGCGTTATTTTGAACAGCCAAGGTTACGCATATGTACTTTGTGCATTTTGCATATCTTATTTTTTGTTGCGCATACGCGCCTCAGGTAGTAGAAGAGCTTGCTATCCCTTTTTTTTCTGCGCGTATTTGCTAACCTTGTGCCTTGTGCAGTTTGCGTAGAGGACGCCCGCGAGTTAACATCCTTGTCGTGGGAGGCTGGACTGAAGTCCATTTTTTAACATCTTTAGCCTGCGCGATTCGTTTTTCATTGCCATCTGTATGCATTAGGTCCCCGATCGCGCATGGGAGGAAGCGCTCGCGCGCCTCGGTAACATCATTTCAGACGTGAGCGCAGGATTTTGGGACCTTCCAGGGTAGGTAGTGCGTCAACACCACCATGGATGCAGATTGTTTCGGTATGTACGGTCCGATTTTGTTTGATTTTGACCTCGTGAATAATGTGTGTTGCAGAATTGTATCATTTGGTTGAGCACACCTGGTTATGGATGGTTGTTTGAATGCGCATGTCCGATTATCAGCTCCATGGCACCAACAGCAAGTACTACCGCATCTACCTGCCCAGTCATCAATACATTAGTCTGTTTCACCTTCACTAACTGTGGACGTTCAGCTATTTTCACCATCCTTCTTAACTGTATTTTATTTTATGTTATCATCCATAGTTTAGTTGGCGCGTCGTGCGCATTGGTGTAGAACTGTATCAAGTATTCGAGCGCGATAGCGCCCTTGTGAAGGTGTTGCATTTTTGCACGGGCCGAGTTGTTCATTTCTTTTGTCGCGCGCCCCTACTGTGCTGCTGATGGCGACGTTTCTTTTTGGGCTATACTCGGTTAGGTGTTCTCCGTTGTGGACTCCAGCGCTATCACGTAACCACCATCCGAACGTCCAAGTCCACTGTTTCGGGGGGGAGTGTCGCGGCTCGCGATGCTAGCCACTCCTCGAAACAGAAGGCCGGGAGCGCTGGCTATCGCGTTACTTGGCGCGCTTTTGAGATCGCGCCAAGACCTCTCCTGCTGGGCGCGTTGCCAAGTCACAGGGTATATAAGGGCGCGCAGGCCGCGGTCTACGCCTCTTCGATTTCCGTTCGTATTGATCGTTTTTATGATTTCGTTCGTGCTGGCAGCGCCTCCAACAGCTCCTGCAGATGATCATCGGTTTCGAGCGGTTGAGCCTTTGTTATCTTCTTGTTTTGGAGACGCGCAGCTAAACATCATGGCTTGTCTAGCGTAGGAAGTGTACCAGCGGGAGTGGAGAGGGGTCACACCGTCCCGGAAGGGCTAGGGGCTTGCGGTTGACCCAGCGGAGAGCCCGGAACTACTTGTTGAAGTCGATCACCATCAGCATCGGCAGCACGGGACGAGGCGGCTCGTCCCGTGCTTAGTTTTCCTGGGTTTTGAAGTAGTATTTTTAGTAATTTTAGTAGTTTTAGTAGCTTTCGTAGTATTAGTAGTTTATTTTTGTGTTTTGTAGATAAATGTAGTCTGAACTAGTCGGTCCTTTTGTTTCTCAGCGTTACGCGCTATTTTACCGTGCCGTTTATACCTGTAGAGGGTAGTCCTCGGCAGCGCCCGTCAAGGCGTCATGAACCTTGGTGGACGCGCGACATCGTAGGGGACAAACGGGAGTTAGGTGTAGCTGCGGCGAGCACTTTAGGCAAGGTGCTGATCACACCGAGCCGCCACAAAGGTTTAATAACAATCAAGCCGGCTCGCCGTTACTTATGGGAACGGTTCAGGCTGTCTTGATGGAACCATAGGAATTTTTATTTGATTTCTAGCCAAGAGAAAAATACAGCATTTTTTGTATGGTAAGCAAGTAAAGAAACCGAAGGGTTATTCAACAGAAAGACGTGATTTTTCTTTATTTTTAGGCATTTGGATCTTTATAGCTTTTTGTTACAAACTTTGCATGAAACGAGGTTGATGCAAAACTTCAAATATTAGATTGGCTCGAAAGTTCTGGGACAAGTTCAATTTTCTTGCCAAACAGGTTTGAGAAGTGGTCTTTATTTCTTTCCAATCACGGCCTTACGTTTCGACGCCTTTCGTCTTCCTCAGAGGCCTGAATGGTTTTGAGTGTTATCCGTAACTCCAGACCACCAAGCGTCTCCTCCCGCTTTGCTAGTTCTCTGCCTTCTCACAATCTCGCTACCAAATAAAATGTCAGTGTAGCAGGACATACCGGAGGACCACCGATACTCGAGTAGTCTGCACCGGAAATAGGCGGTCGCGGCAGACGAGTGAATCGTACTGTAGATACCCAAAGATGATCTACAGTCACACATCACATGATGATACGAACGGGAGGAAGTCAGAAGTTATTGATAAAATTTGTTATTATTATATGTTGTTGTTGTCCGTATCATTATGCACTTACCCAACTCCCAAAGATTTATCGAAAATCTTCACAACGCCAAGCTTGACACGAGCGCTGTTATAGAGTCATTCGATGTAACATCACTCTATACAAATGTGCAGAACAATCAAGCTTCACAAGCGTTATCGGAAATGTTGGATACGCTCGCTGGTACCATAAACATGTACAGACTTGGCAAAGTGCGAACGATGGCCCTAATTAGCGAGTGCCTGAAATGTAACATCTTCGGATGGTCTGGGAAATACTATCCCAGATACGCGGACTAGCTATGGGCCAAAGACTGGCACCAGTTCTCGCTATATGTTTCATGAGTAAAGTCGAAGAACCGGTGTTGGCACGTACGCCTTTGATGTACTGCCGTTACATCGACGATTACTGGGTCATAACATCAACACAATCCGAAATGGATGAGTGTTTTAAGACCCTGAACCAGCAGCCGCAGTACATCAAATTCACGCGCGAAAAGCCACGCGACGGTTGGCTGCCATATCTCAACGCACAGGTAAAGTTATCCGATGGCATTGTTAGAGTAAAATAGTACCTCAAGGAAAACACTAAGAACATCTTGGTAAACGTCAAGTCTGCGCATCCTGCATCTGTAAAACGCGCAGTTACCAGAAACATGTTCTATACAGCTACGCGGATGTGTTCCGGAGAGCAAGAACGTTGCGAATCTTGAAAGGTGGCTTCCCAGATTGCTTGCTGTAATGGTTACCATAACTTACCGTGTCCTCGACTATCTAGAAATGGTAACAGCATTCATAGTAACAGTAAACTCCCACTCTGCCTTCCCTTCATCTCCGACAAGATTGCCGCGGCGTTTCAACAGTGCATTTTTCGAGCTCAGCTACAAAATGATGTTGTTCTAGTCAACATCCCCAACTACAACATCAAAGAGCAGCTAGTCCGAAATAGGCTCTGCGACCAATATTGTACGACAGAGCAATGCATAGTATGCCCGCACGGTAGAGTGGGGGATTGTGCAAAAGTGGGAGTCGTTTATCAAATTGAGTGCCTCAACTGCAAAGCGTTATATATAGGAGAGACGGGCAGACTTTTGGGTATTCGCATGAAAGAACCATCTAGCCGATAAAAGGCGCAAAAATCCGAGCTCGCCGCTTGGCAGGCATAGGGACGCACGGCACGGTGGAGAAGACTTTAACATCAAGTGTAGAATTCTTGCGTATGAAACAGAGATCTCGGCTAGGAAAGCACTAGAAGCATTCTGGATCACTACGAAGAATCCAGAGATGAATAATAAGAACGAGTGTTTATCAATAACTTCTGACTTCCTCCCGTTCGTATCATTATGTGATCTGTGACTGTAGATCATCTTTGGGTATCTACAGTACGATTCACTCGTCTGCCGCGACCGCCTATTTCCGGTGCAGACTACTCAAGTAGCGGTGGTCCTCCGGTATGTCCTGTTACACTGACATTTTATTTGGTAGCGAGATTGTGAGAAGGCCGAGAACTAGCAGAGCGGGAGGAGACGCTTGGTGGTCTGGAGTTACGGATAACACTTAGAACCATTCAGGCCTCTGAGGAAGACGAAAGGCGTCGAAACGTAAGGCCGTGATTGGAAAGAAATAAAGACCACTTCTCAAACCTGTTTGGCACAATAGAAAATTGAACTTACGACAAATGTCAAGGTTTCATGAAAACGGAACTTAAAAGTTCTGGGACTTTTGGAACTATATCTGCTATTTCTCGAAACTTAATGCACGTACATCCGACAAAAGGTATTATTCGATAGAGCAAAGCAAGCTCTACAAGATGGTATGCAGAAGTTCGCACTAGTTTCAAACTACCGTAAGTTTGCACCCAAAATCTGAGTTGTACTGAAATTCAAAAAATCGCAAAAAATCACATCTTTGTTCAAACAAATCCTACGGATCTCCAACTTGCTCAAGCAACTTGCACGCCACATCAGACACTTATATGTACCGTTCCTGTATTTTTCCCCATTTAGAAATCGAGAAAACGAAAATTTTCAAGTTTTTACAAAAACGAAGCTGTGCTGTTTCCACCCATGTAATTGAGTAGTACAAGTTTCTAGAGGTATAACCGTAAATTTTCAGCTTTCCGTAAGCCCTAGTGTTGTCGAAAAATATTGATTTTAGCATGGAACACTTAAGTGAGGAGAGCTCAATTCGGTAATTTTCGAAAACTA